TTTTCTTACCACAGGGGCAAAAATCACATCCCCTGTGATAGGCCTGACTACATCTCAGAGATAACCAAGTCTCCAGGAACAGAAGAAACAAGAAAGACTGACAAACTTGACCTCTGGCGACTGCCTGATAATTACTCCACAAAAATTACTATTTTTCTCTTTATCCCCATAAAAGCCACTTGGCCTCGCTGCTGGCATCTCCCTTCTCTTTCTTTCTCCTTTCTTTCTTTCGGATGCCATGCTGTCTCCCTGCTCTCTTCCCCCACCCCGCTTCCTTCTCTCTCTTTCTGCCCTTCTAAAGGATAAAATAAACTTTTAACATCTTAATCTCTGTGTCAGAGATCTTTCTCCACCCATGCTGTGAGCACCTACTAAGCCTTCCCACCCTAACATTTGGTAGCCCACACAGGGACTAAGGAAAATCACATCTCTGCCTCCACAGGGGGAGAAGTCACTTTTCTCCCCATGAGGGCAGTCTCATCCTCTCATTTTTCTACCTCCGGACAAGAAGGTGCTTCAGTCTTGAAACTGCTCCCTCCTCTGCAATTTCTAGGACATTCCTCAAATTGTTCACAATCAGGTGAATCATTTGGGAAACTTTGGGAATGGTCATATGCACAAGGTGGAGAATGGTAATTTTCTTGTTTGCTCAAGGGAAACCCAGCACTGGGTCTACCACTCGGGAGGGTGGCATGGAGAGACACTTCCCAACCACTCTTTGGGGGTGCGGGGCGGGGGGGGGAGTGGCACTGCCTCCATCATGTCTTCACCCAGACCCAGGGACACCTGCTAGCTATGGGGAAGATTTCAGGTTCACAATCTGAGTCGGAGTTCAGGGACACCTGTCTGCTGGCCAGATTGTTCGGTTTGGGTCTTAGATTTTCAGGGATGCCTGATGTCTGATCAGACTTTCAATGGTCATCTGAGTTGGGGACGTCCTCTCAGGTTTTTGGCACATATGACCCTCTCTAAAACATCCTTTCCTTTCTCCTAGTTGCCAACCTAGGCAACATTGGGTCAGAACTTTGGGACTCATTGACCTCCATCCCAAACATTCAGTAAATTAAATGACCATGAAGTTTGGCCTGAGAATGAATCTCTGCATGATGTCACTTGATCTTCTATCGCTGCTGGCGGGCAAAGGGTCTAAAGTTCTCTACTTTCACGCTTTCTTTAAACTCATTAGTCTTTCTGGTCTTCACTATGCCTGTCTCATGTTACTTCTCACCCCTGCATCTCTCTAACTGCCCTCACTTTCTAGATGATGTTTCTCTTTTGGGTCCCCTGTTCCTCCTCCTTCCTCTCCATCTTCATTTCTCTCGCTGGCCGCACCTGCTCTGGCTGGCCATTCCAGAACTCCCTCCCCTGTACACCAGCTCCCTTTCTGGGAGACCATAGGGCAGAAGGCATTGTAAATCAGGTACCCAAATTGGGAAAGCCAGGATGAAATTTCAGCCCTTTTCCTGTCTGAAGTCATTCTCCTCTTTACTAATCCAGTCCTGACACTAGGGAGGGACAATCCATCTTAGCAATGTACTTCATCTCACAGCAAGCCCCAATATTTGGTGTAAACTCCAAAAATTGGAAAAGGGGCCTCAGACTCCACAAGAGGAACTTTAAACCTGGCCTTCAAGGTCTTTGATAACCTGGATGGGGAGAAGTGAAAGGAAAAAGAGAGTGGGACTGACAAATTTCAAATAGTGGCTGCCACTGTAAAGGAGTTTTTCCATAGACAGTTAGTCAAAAAGGCCCCTGGCAAGAAGACCACAAGGCCACACCCTTCTATGGGAACTAAACCCTGTCTCCATTCTGACTCTGGGTCCCTGGAGTAAAAATGTCTCAGGAAGCAGGGTCCCTGCACCCTCTGACAAAGAAGGGCACTGCAAGAGCAGAGGGAGATCACACCTGCATTCCAGAACCGGCTGCCCCACCCTGAACAGGCGTCCTCCACACCCACAGACCCTCTGAAACTGCTTCAGTCTGACAGGCATGTCAGACTCATGGGCATGAACGGACTCAACTTTGACAGGATAGGATGGCCGAGCCTTAGGTAACTCTCTGGCACAGGTAGGAACACTGGAGTCAAGTCCTCTGCTCTTCCTGAATTTTCAGGGCCTGTTTCCCTCTTCTACCCCCACTGTCAGAGTGAAAGGTAAAATATAAACCCCCTGTGTACTCTGGGAGACAGTCTTTGCCCATCCTTTAGTGCTTCCCAATTACCCCCACTGGGAAAAGATGTTATGGCTTCCTTTCTTTGACTTTTGGAAAAAGCTTAACTGGGACTTTATATACAAGTTTTTCCTTTCCGTGGTATGCTATGAACTTTTCTCCCTTGTTTCACCTAAAATTATCTACTTCTATATGCCTGTATGTTTGCCTGTCCCTATATGTCATGTGAATGTCAAGTTTCACTACCGAAATATGTAAAAGAGCTCTAATTAATTGGCTTAAAGAAAAAGTAAACTTGCATCAAATTTTATTAAGAACGTAAGAACTGGGCCGGGCGCGGTGGCTCACGCCTGTAATCCTAGCTCTCTGGGAGGCCGAGGCGGGCGGATTGTTTGAGCTCAGGAGTTCGAAACCAGCCTGAGCAAGAGAGAGAGACCCCGTCTCTACTAAAAATAGAAAGAAATTAATTGGACAACTAAAAATATATAGAAAAAAATTAGCCGGGCATGGTAGTGCATGTCTGTAGTCCCAGCTAGTTGGGAGGCTGAGGCAGGAGGATCGCTTGAGCCCAGGAGTTTGAGGTTGCTGTGAGCTAGGACACCACAGCACTCTAGCCCGGGCAACACAGTGAGACTCTGTCTCAAAAAAAAAAAAAAAAAAAAAGAACATAAGAACTCAAATGCCTTTTAGTTTACATGACCTTGGTAACCTTCGATAAATGAAAATAGTTTTGAAATTGTTAAAGTTTAAATGTTTTAAGATCATAATTAATACATCAATGAAAGTAGCTACATCCGAGATGGCCACTGATAACAATCATATTATACTAACAGAAAAACTAAACTTTGAGGGCTGAAGTTTATACCCATATAGCTTCCTGCATTGCCTTTAAAGTCTTCTAAAGACTATCACTCTTGGTTAAATGAAAGCCATTGTTTTATAGCAAACTTTGATTCTATTTAAGAATGTCATGTTTTAAATCTGTAGAGCTTGACAGGCTTTCCAAGAACAAAATTATGGATGTTTTTTTTAACCTCAAAGTAGCTTTAATAGCGGAAACGCTAGAAGCCCAAGAAAAAAACTTATTAGGCTTACTATTAAACCATACAGGAAAACATCATCAAATATAAAATGATATTTTCCACCTCTCTTCGGGATGCCATGCCATCTCTCTGCTCTCCTCTCTCCACCCCCTCCTTCTCTTTCTCTCTCTCATTCTTTCTGTCCTTCTAAAGGATAAATTTTACTTTTATAACTTAATTTCTGTGTGAGAAATCTTTCTCCACCCACGCTGTGAGCACCTACTAAGCTTTCCACCCTAACAGGTTTTGCTTTTTTTTTTTAATTATTTTTTATTTTCGTGTCATCCTTGCGCAGGGGCCATGCTAATCTTCTCTGTATCGTTCCAATTTTAGTATATGTGCTGCCAAAGCAAGCACAGGTTTTGCTTCTTAATCTGCTTTTCCAAAAGTAAGCCAAAATGTGAAATCACGTTTTTTACCCTGTTAGTTTTTCTTCACCTCTCACAAGACATTCCACTCCTTCATATTCAAATTTGAAGACTGAGATTTATCTATTACAAGATTTCTCAGGCCAGGTTTGGTGGCTCAGGCCTGTAATCCTAGCACTCTGGAAGGCCGAGGTGGGAGGATCCCTTGAGCTCAAAAGTTCAAGGCCAGCCTTAGCAAGAACGAGACCCCATCTCTACTAAGAAAAAAAAAATTGAAAAAATTAGCCGGGTGTGGTGGCGTGCGCCTGTAGTCCCAGCTACCCCGGAGGCTGAGGCAGGAGGATCGCTTGAGCCCAGGAGTCAGAGGTTGCTGTGATCTAGGCTGACGGCATGGCACTCTAGCCCGGGCAACAGAGTGAGACTCTGTCCCCCAAAAAAAAAAAAAAAAGGGAGAGAGTGAAATGCAACAAAAAATTTGAAAAAAAAAAAAAAAAAAAGACTCTTCAAACACTATTCTTTTCCTTTTTGCCTTTAGATTTCGCAAGTGAAAGACCAGGTAATTTCCACAGCGCACACATTAAACAATGAATCCAGGTAAAATGACAGCCTAAATCGTATCCGTGAACTTACCGTGACTCCCTATTTGGTTTTTACTTAATACTTTCACTATGTTTTATGGCTTCAGGAAAGCAAAAGAACAACGTACTGTACCAAACGTATTAAAAGAACTTACTAAAAACCAATTAGGCAATTCTTTTACCTCTCTTATGGAAATAAGCGTGGGTTGGAAACCAACTTTCCTAATACTTCTTGTCAGTGCCTCAAGGTCGTCAGAATAAACATAAAACCTCCAACTCGAAGGACACTTCGCAGCCCCCCAGCACTTTAAGAAAGGCTGGACAATAAAGCATCTACCCTCCCGCTCCGGGCCCGTTAACACGGCCAAGGCCACTGGGCCCCCAGGTCCCGGCCCGAGGACGTGCCCAGCGGCCAGGCAGGGAGGGAGCAGCAGTCCCCGGCGGCCGGCTCAGCCTAGATGAGCACAGCCCGGGCGAAGCTCAGGACGACGCCCCGGGGACCACCGGCCCGCGGGGCCACCCAGGGCGGCGCAGAGGCGCCACAGGGCGGGGGCAACCAGAGGAGCGCCGGAAGCCTCTCCTGGGCGCCTGGCCCAAGCCCTGCGGGTGGCAGCTCCCAACCAAAGGCTGAGGGGTCCCCTGGCCCGGAGTTCGCGAGCCGAGGGACCCCAGCAAGGGACGCGCGGCCGCACCCGCGGTACGAGGAAGGGCGGCGGCGATGGCGGGCGGTCTCCTCGGAGCTATAGCAGGGAGGGCGCCCGGGGTGGCCACGGAGTGAGTCTGGGGGAAACTGGGTGCCTCACCTGCTCCTCTCGAGGCAGCCGCCACCGCTCGCTGAGGGGACAACATGGAGCCTCCGCCTTCAGCAGTAGCAGCAGAGGCGCAGAACAGAGAGGAGTACTGGGGCAGGAACGAACCAGGCCCTGGAGGCGGGAAACGGGCGGGGCCTGCGCTCCAGAAGAAACTGGGGAGGAGGAGTGCGCGGAGCCGCGAGGAAGCGAGTTCAGGGCGTGCCGGCGAGGCCCGACCGGCGGCCCGAGGCGTGGCAAGCGCAGGGCGGGCCGAAGCGGGAAAGCGCACGCGGCGGAATCCCGCCACCGCCCGGCGCGCCTGCGCAGAGCGCGCTGCCGGTTACCTGTGGCTGGGTGCCGGGTATTACGTCCACTGGGAATTGTAGTCCCACCGCTCCCTGGGTCCCGGCCAGCGGTCCCTTTTCTGCGCACTCATCCGGGGCGGGGAGGAAGCGCGATAGGAGGAAGGCGGGGCTTGGAGCGCTCCCCGACGAGCGAACTACAACTCCCAGCAGGCCGTGCGTGGGGGGGGCGGGCCGGCCCGCGTCCGCTGGCGAGCCCCGCCCGGCGCCTAGTGTGGAGACCAGGCCCCAGGTGGAGGCCTCGGGATGACGGGTAGTGAATCTCTGCCCGCTGTTTTGAGATGGTTTCGGTGTTTAACGTAGGCTGAGCCCACAGATCGGCAGCAGAAGGGAAGCCTCAACCGTGGGTGACGTGAACGTCACTGGGTTTTTAATGATTTTGACTTCACAAGGAGAGGGGGCCGTGACTTCATTACCACCAACAGCAGCATCTTCACCGCATGTTCCTGTCTCTGGCCAAGCCTGATGTGCCCCATAACTGGTCTACTAGCTAACGTAAGGACTTCCAGTGAGACCTCTTCCACTGCTTTTGTCCAGCCTAAGCCTTGGCCATCTTTTGTAAACCTCAGGTTTACAGGAGCTTGTTTTGCTGCTGCTTTTCCAAGCACACTTTTACTTAAACTGTATGGAAGATCGATACAAAACAAAGTTCTCCAAAAAATGCTTTTATTCGCACTTCACATGTGATCGGGTAAATGTCACTTGCCACAATTGACGAATATTGGCTTTCAGATTTGTTGGGGCGGGGTAGTTGTCTTGGGGATACGTAGCTGGTGGAGCTAAGGCATCCATTCCCGCACCACCACCTCTTGGCATCACCACTGCCTTATCCATTCAACAAATTTTCCACTCTCTTCTTTCTGCCTCTGCCGTAACTTTTTATAACCTACCCAGAACCATCTTCCAGCTACCTCTAGGTCCTGCCAAGCCGTGAGCTATTTTCTACTTCCAGAGTGATTAGGCCAGAGACTAAAAAGTTAAAGATAATTCTACCTAATCCCACCTAAAGAGATCCTGTTTTGATTTCTTCTCCCTTGTGTCTTCGGTTTCTCCCCAAACTCTCAAGATTGATTGAATACTCTCCTTCAGGCTTTAGATTTAAGTCTGGATTAGATGTAGGCCAGCTTGGGCCAGCAGGAAACTAGAAGTGAACATCGGGGCAAGTGGTTACTGGAGTTTCACACTGGGTATGCAAAAAGCAGAATCTACAAGATGTGACAAACCCAGGGCATTATGTGGCATGCTCAGAAAGAGAAAGGAGGGGCCAAGGGCCAATAACTTGTCACAATTACAACACACTGTATGTAAGGATTTAAAACTGCACACACATACCAACAGTCTCTAATCCTCTTCCCTGCATTACTTTTCCACATAAGACTTCTTACCCCCAACTTACATTTTACTTTTCATTTTGTCGGTCTCTTCCCACTAGAATGTAAGTTACAAACATAGGAATTTTTGTCTCTTTTGTTCACTACTATATCCCCAGTGCTTCTAACAGTGTTGGCAGACTGCAGAGACTCAAATATCTATTGAATTAATGAATGAAGAACATATACCCTATACCCAACACCACTCATTCACTTTCTGGTTTCTTTAATATTAAATACCTAACTTTTTCTATTGAACAAAATATCCTGTTCTATTTTAAGGGCTCCCAATAAAAATCCACTGAAACTGATTCTGTCAGGAAGTGAACAGCAAATGCTGACATTATCTCTGTCTCAATATAACAGCATCAAGGTCAATCTCGGCACGTCAGCCTTCCCTATACCTTGTAGAAGCTTTTGGCATTTGGAACAACAAAGTACAAATTATAGGTAGACTTTAGTATTAGTCACAGCTTAGAAAGCAACCGTTGTAAATGAAAAACATGTTTTGTTGTTCTTATTTCCTTCTCTAATATCCAGGGTCATTAAAACAGTGGACATTCAAAATGGTAAATCTTGATGATACTGATTACGGCCTGCCTTCAGCCATCTCACTCTGAATTAAGTCATGTGGTATGACTAGAGATTGAACTTTCCTTGAGGTTTTCCAGAAGTAGGTGACATTTAGACAGGTTTGAGTGGTTAAGACCACTTGCTTTGGGGTCAGACTGACCAGGCTTTGAGTTCTGGTTCTGATGTTCACTAGCTGTGCAATCTTGGATGAGTTACTTAACCTCTCTGAGCCTGTTTCATCATCTGCAAAATTATTCCAATACCCACAGAGTTATAAATTAAATGGGATGTGTTTGGCAATGATGACTGCATGGTTAGTGTTCAAAAATTGTTAATCATCATATTCATTCTGGAAAAGCAAAGCAAAGTCATAAATATCCAAGATTCTCAAGTAGTTTATGAAGCACAAAAATAGCAAAATTATTTTCTGCAATGACATCCACTGTGACTCAGGTTCAAAAGCTTTCCAAAATAGGGCATTTGTTATGTGCCAGGTCCTGTGATAGGCAGTAATGCTGCATAAGACACATTCCTGTCCTCCAGAGACTCACAGTCTTGTGGGGTAAACAGCTGAGTAAATATTACTCACTGTGATTATACTGGGACACACTTCAGCTTTCTACCCTCTATGTGTAGGATTAGTGTTTAAGCAACTTGGAAGGGACAGGTTGGAATACTGTGTCCCTGGGCACCATTTAAATGTCTGTACTTTACTTGCTTGTGTGTAAAATGGGGCAATGATTTGGCATCTCCTTTTCTTTTTTTATTTTGTTTATTTATTTATTTTTTTTAGACAGTCTCACTCTGTTGCCTGGGCTAGAGTGCCGTAGTGTCAGCCTAGCTCACAGCAACCTCAAACACCTGGGCTCAAGAGATCCTCCTGCCTCAGCCTCCTGAGTAGCTGGGACTACAGGTGCACACCACCATGCCCAGCTAATTTTTTTCTATTTTTGGTAGAGACGGGGTCTCACTCTTGCTCAGGCTGGTCTGGAACTCCTGAGCTCAAAGGATCCGCCTGCCTCAGCCTCCCAGAGTGCTAGGATTACAGGTGTGAGCCACCATGCCTGGCCTGCTGTCTTCATTTATGAAAAGAAAATAGTCAACCCCACTTCATAAGGTGTTATACAGTTGAGTATTAGGCCCTGAACATGGTAACAGTAAAAGGTTAAGACCGTGTCAGCTGCCTCATTATTGGTATTTTAGCCAAGAGCACAGCTGTCTAACATTTCAAAAAATATGCTAAGGCCAAGCTTGGTGGCTCACACCTGTAATCCTAGCACTCTGGGAGGCCGAGGCAAGTGGATTTTTTGAGTTCAGGAGTTCAAAACCAGCCTGAGCAAGAGCGAGACCCCTGTCTCTACTAAAAATAGAAAGAAATTAATCAGACAATTAAAAATATATAGAAAAAATAAGCCAGGCATGGTGGCACATGCCTGTAGTCCCAGCTACTCAGGAGGCTGAGGCAGGAGGATCACTGGAGCCCAGGTGTTTGAGGCTACAGTGCACTATGATCAAGCCTGGGTGACAGAGCGAGACTCCGTCTCTGAAAGAAAAAGAAGCTTAGGTGGAAAATTATCTATATAAATACCAGTCCTATAAAAACAGGAAGAAGAGACCTACTACAGTGCCTCAGTGGCAGAAGTTGTTCCATCAAACTCCTGGGAAATAGTTACACTCCAGAGCGAGCACTTTCAAAATCTCATCTGAGACATTCCCTGACTAGAAACTTTCAGCGAATCCCCATTATTCTTAAAACAAAGCCTCAGTTCCTTAGTACAATACTACTGCTTCTCCACACTCTGGTCCCAACATATCTTCCCTCTTGTCCCAATTCAAGCCCCTCAGCTCAGCCAACTTGGTGTAACCAACACCCAAGACACCTAACACACAGTCACACTTTTGAGCCTTCAGCCACCACATATAGCTGTGCAGTCCGTGTGTTCACCAAGGCAGCCTTGGAGGGAAGGGGCAAGAAGGAATCAAATCTAGGCCACATTCTGCGAGACAAGTCAGCATGGAACTGCATCATGGACTAGGCTGGGAAAAAGAGGTTGTTTTTTTAGGATTCATCTGCCCACAAGGGTACCTTTCTGTATATGTGAACAAAAGCAACCCCTGTGTTTGCTTCACACTATCCTTCCCTGCCTTTAATGACGTCCTTACAATTCCAAACTCCTATCCAACTTTAAGCTTCTTCATAAAACCTCCCCAAGACACTATAACTCTATAGTCATTCCCTCCTCTCTTTTAAATTCATACATTTCGCTTGCCATCTAATCAAAGCACTATGGTTTTATGTTATTTGGGGTTGTTTTTGGTTGCTATTTAACTTGTATTATTTAACTTTATGTGAATATGTTCTATGCTCCAACTAGCTTGTAAACTCACTGAAGTCAAGACAAACTTATTTTTTCAGTCCCTCCAAAGTTCCCAGGATTATGTCATATGCACAGGTGATCAGTAAACATTCATGGAATAAATCATATATACAAATAAGCAAACATCTCAGGCAAGTATCAATGGAGGGATGATCACTGGTACAGCAAGCAAAGAGAAAGCAGAAAGTAAAGACAGCTTCAGAAATTAGACCTCACACAAAGGCTTCTTATGTAAAAAAAGTCTCTGAACGGTCTGAAGAGACCAAGAACACATGAATGTCTTGATTTTTAACTTCTTTTCTCTGCTTCTAGATATTAGGGAAATGGGCCTCCTTTCCAGCTGGGGTCTCCAGATTCTAGCAAGTGCTGTTAGAGTTGGTACCTGCATCATTTATTTCCTTATTCAGCACCTAATAATATAGATATTTTAAAAACATGTGCATTCATGAGAATGGGTAGATAACTGGCTTGGTTATCGGATCAGCTATTATTTCCCTTTACCATCAAAGGGACAGTGTGCTGCATTATCAGCTGATGCTGTAAAGTGCCAGGGTAAGATATTTGCCACAAAGTTATTTTGGGAAATATTCCTGTGTGCCTTTTTCAGAGTGTTGCAATGGCGAGGAGTTCCCCCTCCCCCCCATCTGGGCTTTACCTGACCTTAAAAACTGTCAAGGGCAGATGTAGTCTACAGCCTGCTCTAGAAGATTTCCACTGCTCAGATCACTTTTCCGCTCTGTGGCGGTCTGGCTGACCACCTCCCCCTTCATGAGGTTGCATCTTTACAGGATCTGCTGATCCTGCAATTGCCCTTTGGGTCATCGATCGCTGCTTTAGCAATGACAAAGCCTACAGCCTTGATTCTTATTATTTAAGGACACACTCCCCCTCTTAAAAAAATTATGCGTCTTTCAAATATTTTGACCCGACATAAGGAGGCTTTGAATTTGGCAAGCCAACACAGGAGAAGCAAAAAAATGAATAAAATCCAATGTAAGCTAGATGTCTGGTTTCAAATACATATTCTGCTAAGGACCCCATTTAGGCCATGAATAAAATTCAATTATGTGTATTTTGTGCTTTATTCTGCATTTTTTATATTTTTTTTTAGAAAATGGGGTGGAGGAGTGGGGGCCAGTGGTCTCCCCTATTTTGCCTAGGCTGGATTCAATTCCTGGGCTCAAAGTGATCCTCTCGCCTCAGCCTCTCAGGGAGCTGGGAGGACAGGTGCCGCCACTGCCTCCGGCCTTATTCTGAATTTTTAATACCTCATTTTATCACCCTCCCCCATAATCACAGCCAGAATATTCTTATCTCCTGGCTCTTCTTCATCAGCTCAGCATTTTTTCCTCCAAAACAATGCCTCTCTATCTGAGCCTATTTCAAAGAAAAGACAACCTTAAGACCCAAGGTTGGACCCTTTGGCAATAGTAACGAGATAAGAATATGAAGCAGGTTCTGCAGCTGCATTGCAATGTGATTGGAATGACTAACAGTTTTTCATTCTGTACCGCATCTTTCTGCATCTACGAAATGGGGGGCCGTGCCATCTCTGCCTCACGGTGAGGCGATATTACGACACATCCAGAGAAGTGCATAAAGCACCCTGCAGAGTGGGCCTACTCTACACTGTGGTTTTCATTTTTCACTGGAGTCACAGGCAGGAACGCATCAACCGAAAGACATCCACTCTGGAATTCATGGGAAAGTTTCTACCTAATGGAAGCACAAAGGAATTTCTGTCGTTAAAATACATAATCCGCCGACCCTAAAACACTTACATATACAGCTTCGAGGGAAAACCACCCCGCAGTCCCTGGCGGCGGCCGCAGTGGGCGGAGCCTAGCGCTGAGTCACGCCCCCTGCGTCTGGTCCCCGAGGGGGGCGCGCCCAACCCCGGCGGCGCGCGGGGCGCGGCGGGAGGCCAGTTTCGCCCCTCCTTCCCTGCAGGAGCGCGGAGAGACAGTTCTTGCGCCTGCGCCCTGCGTTTCTGCGCGCTTCGGCACCCGCGCGAGGGGCGTCTGTGCGCGTGCGCGTTCGCGCTCCCGCCCTGTAGCTGTGCTCGGCTGAGTCAGTCAGTCTGTCGGAGTCTGTCTTCGGAGCAGGCGGAGTGAAGAGACTTCGAAGAGCCAGCTGCCCGATTATTCTATTTCCCCTCCCTCTCTCCCGCCCCAAATCTCTCTTCACCCTTCTCCGGCCCTTGCTCGCATAGCCATGGCGGAGCCGTCGGCGGCCACTCAGTCACCGTCCATCTCCTCGTCGTCCTCCGGGGCCGAGCCGTCCGCGCCCGGCGGCGGCGGCGGGAGCCCGGGAGCCTGCCCCGCCCTGGGGGCGAAGAGCTGCGGCTCCTCCTGTGCGGGTGAGGCGCGCGGGGGAAAGGCGGGCGAGGGCCAGGGGACTGCGAGGGATTAGGACGTGGGGGCAGGAGGAATTAGCCTCGACTACTGACGGCTTCAGCCCCGGGGGACAAGCGTTTGGAAATTGGGCAAAGGGGGAGGGGAGCATAAGGTCGTGCAGGCGGTGAGGAAATAACGGGGTGTGGGGAAAACAGGTTGGGGGCGGGGAGGCCGTCTAGAGAGTGGGTGTTGGCGCCGAGACGGGGCAAGTGGGGAAAAACACCAGCTTACGGGAGGGTTGGATAAAGTGGAGAATTGATCCGTCCATATGCCGAACCGTGTTCGGGGAGGCGAAAGCCCTCTGAACCGGGGTGATTTAGTGGAGGATTAGAGAGGTTGAGAGCACTGGGGCAGGTGGGTCGTGGGAGAAATGATTCGTCACGATTTTGAGGGAATGGTGGCGAAAGGGTTGCATGGCAGATTTGCAGACAGGTGTTGACATAATCAAACACTTGGATTAGTCCTCAAAAAAATTTTGGAGGGGTTGCCCAAGGGGAGCATGAGGAAGTTTAATGGAAGCATGTAGCCCATTTCTTTACTGTTTTCGGCTAGACTCTATGAATGCCCGATTTTTCTTAGGCTCCGAGGTGGAAGGAGGCGTGATGAGAATAGCTCTGGGAAGATTTGGGAGGGAGCTGATGGTCCAAGATGGATCCGTGGCTGTATCTGCAACACAGCCTGCTCTTCACTGGCGCTGCGTGGGGGTGGGGACGTGCAATCCGTCGCTTATATTCTAGAAGATAATAAATAGAGTCATGCCAAGCCATCAACGTGTTTTGATTTCATGTTTTCTGTGGGCCGTTGTTGATGGAAGTGTAACAAAAGGAGTTGTTTACTGCAGAAAGGGGGAGGGGGAGAAAATTCAGACAAAGCAGGGGCTGGTTGAACCCCCTTCTCCCATCTCTGTGAAAGACTAGGAGGGAAGCTGCAGGCCTCCTTTAGTTTCCATTGTATATGCGTCTGCCTGTTGGTGGGAGCTGGCTGGCAAGCTGTCCTTATGCAGAGATCTGCAGTGCAGATGCCTTCTTGAGGGAAAAAAATGCACCATGAGCAGGTGGTGGTTATTAAAGGAACTGAGTCGTTGAGGGGGAAAAAAACGTTCTGTCAAAGGAAGGGCCATAAACTCGGGAGAGTACAGATAATTTTGCTCTATTTAGTTATGTTAAAGGATTTTGAGAGGTTTTAAAATGCTTCCTTGTCTCCTTTGCCAGAATCTTGGGTCGATTGTTCTAAAGAACATATAATTTCCGATCTTCGCCTTCAATATATTCTCCACATGTTTTTCTAACAATGGATTTCCACCTGTCTAAGAGCTTTGGAGCCCTGCTGAATTTTCCAGTGTGGTTATGGCCATTTTAGTAGAAACAGGCAGTATCAGAGGAAGCTTCTGCAGATAAAAGAATGAGGCAGCAAATTTGGAACCCGTGTTCTCTTTAAACCACCAGTGTTTCTCCTCCAAATTTTTGTGTTCTGGGCTAAGGTCCAGATGAACAGCAGCTTCCTTATAACTTAGCAACTTGGTTTCTTGGCTTACTGTTTGGAATTGGCCCTTTTGTGCATACCTTTTGATTTTTCTTGATTTTCAATTTTTGATTCAGACCTAAATTTTAGGAATTGGCCCTTTGTGGTCAAGATAAGACAGATGTTAAGCATTGAATTCTAGTTAGCAGGCATTAAAATTTAGTCCAGGGCCAGATGCAGTGGCTCATATGTGTAATCCCAGCACTTTGGGAGGCTGAAGTGGGAGGATTGCTTGAGGCCAGGAGATTGAGACCAGCCTGGGCAACATATCGAGACGCAGTCTCTATAAAAAATAAAAAATAATAAATATAGTGGCATGTGCCTGTAGTCCCAGCTCCTCTGGAGACTGAGGCAGAATTGTTTGAGTCCAGGAGTTTGAGGTTGCTGGGAGCTATGATGATGCCATTGCTCTCTAGCCTGGGTGACAGAGCAGACCCTGTCTCAAAAAAAAAAATTAGTCCTAACATTTACAACCAAATGATGAAATCATTTGATAATCAACATTTTTATTCTTTTAATGCACTTATGAAAGAGTTGGCTCTTTTAATAGGCCAATGAAATAAGAGTATTTTGTGCACAGACACATACACCACTGCCATCGAGTGGACCCTAAATTGGCAATATAAATTTAATAACATAACATATTTGTTTGGCTTATGTCTCTGATATCACTTCCCCTTGTCACAATTCTTATTTATTTATTATTGGCTTTACTTTGCTTATTTTTTGCACTCTTCTTTATGATAGTGGCAAAGGTGCTAAAACTATGCATTTTGCCAAAAATAGTGGAATTTATATTCTGTAATCATGTTCCAAATACCTGGGTTTGCATTACATTTCCTAATAGTATTAAATGCCTCAGTTTTCACACGTTATTTCTTAGTAAAATTTTATTACAGAATTTGTATTTCTTTTTTTTTTTTTTGAGACAGAGTCTCACTCTGTTGCCCTGGCTAGAGTGAGTGCCGTGGCGTCAGCCTAGCTCACAGCAATCTCAAACTCCTGGGCTCAAGCAATCCTACTGCCTCAGCCTCCCAAATAGCTGGGACTACAGGCATGTGCCACCATGCCTGGCTAATTTTTTCTATATATTTTTAGCTGTCCAATTAATTTCTTTCTATTTTTTTAGTAGAGACGGAGTCTTGCTCTTGCTCAGGCTGGTCTCGAACTCTTGAGCTCAAACAATCCACCCGCCTCGGCCTCCCAGAGTGCTAGGATTACAGGTGTGAGCCACCGCGCCCGGCCCAGGATTTGTATTTCTTAGATCAGCTGTAGACACTTTATCACTATTCACATTTAGAATGGTGTCTCATATAAAGAAGTGCTTTATAAGTATTTGTTCAGTAAATCATCAAATTTATGAGCTGGAAAGATACACCTGAAAAATAAACAGATATTCTATCTTAAACTCTTATCTATTGAAAATGTGCATTAATATTGTCTAAAAAGCACTAATACAATGTTGGTGGGCCCAGTGCAGGATCCTCATTTGTTGGGTCACTACTTGAATGTAAAAGTTTACTTAAGGTACTGCAATGTATTGCAGAAGCCTTTCCCCCTTGCAGAATGATTTCTCCATCTCACAGAGGAAATGTCAAGCTTTTGCAACACGAAAATAAGGTGAAGTTTCCTCTTCTAAAACTTACTGAAAATGTAGATGCCAAAAAATTACCTCGATTGTTTAAAAAAATCTGCAAGTGTTGCTGTCAGCCTCAGATTCGTGTTCTTTCATCAAACTCCTCTTGGTTTTAGTTAAAGAAGAGTAAGCAATTGCTTGGTGTCCTGTAGAAAACAGTTTTGTCTTGATTGACCTGTCCAGTGCTGAATTTTAGAAATATTTGTTCATACGTACAGATAGAGAATGAGTGATGGCAGTCTCTGGTCCAGTGCCTTAGGTACTAATGCAACCAGCAATGTAGTATGCTTAGAGAAGAGGTCAGGGGCCAGGATAGCTTCCCAGATTTCTGTCTTTGAAGGAAACTGAAGACTTCAAAGGCAGAAATTTGAGATTGAGATAAAAGGGACTGAAATATTTAGTGTTCTTTTCAGAATGAGAGTTTTTATTAGACATCAAGTATAGATAATATGTCTGTTGTCTGAACTTTAAAACCGCTTTAGTAGTTTACTATTGATATGTTGAAATTCTGTAACTTGCTAGAAACTGCTTTTTCTTTTTTAGAAACTGCTCTTTATTGTTATGAAAATCATGATGCCAAAATAAAGCCACATTTCATAAGTCTGTTTATAGAAGTTAGCTCAAAGCAAAAACAGCTTGAGCAATTACAAAAAAAGGTTTTGCTTTAAATATTTCTTTCCTCACGAAACTTAGTTCTGTGTACTTTTTGTGGCATCATTTCACACTTTGTTCTAACATATCAATCAAATGTAAGTATATAAGTTGTGTTTCCAAGTAATCCTTAAATAAAAAGAAATGTGACCACCTGTTCAACAATGTCATAATCTGTGTATTATATTCATGTCAGATTATCAGTGGCAGTATAATAACATGGTGATAAAAACACAGATCTGAGCCACAGAGATGCCTAGATTTCAGTCCTTGCCCTGTCTCTTAATAATTGTGTGACCTGTCTATGGCCATACCACCCTGAACATACCTGATCTCGTCAGCTAAGCAGGGTTGGGCCTGGTTAGTACTTGGATGGCAAAGAAAAGAAAAAAATTGTGTGACCTTGTGCAAATCCTGAACCTCAGTTTCCTTGACTTTATTTATGACATTAAGCTGCCACCCCCTTCCACTCAGGTGGTCTGTTAAAGAGGTAGGAGGAGGAGCCAAGACGTTTCCTAGATGGCTTGGCATGATATCACTGTGCTTAAATATTTTCTGCAGCATCCTGACCATAATAAATACTGTTATGATACATTATGAAATGCCTGTCCATGTGGAAGCAAGAGTACAGGAAACAGCAAGAGTAGTTATGTCAGTGTGGTCTACGGATGCCTGCTGACTTGGATTGTTTTTATTCCCCAGAAATAAAAAGTTTATTCCAGTGATATTTGATTGATTGATTAATTGGAGACACAGTGTCGCTCTGTTGCCTGGACTAGAGTGCAGTGGCATCACCATAGCTCATTGCAACTTCAAACTCATGGGCCCCAGCAATCCTCCCACCTCAGCCTCCCAAGCAGCTGGGACTAAAGATGTGTTACAACGCCCAGCTAATTTTTGTAGAGACATCTGGAACTCCTAGCCTCAAGCAGTCATCCCACCCCAGCCTTCCAAAGTGCTAGGATTATAGGCATAAGTCACCACTCCCAGCCTCAATTCTGTTTTCTTTTATTGTCAAATTCACAATTAATTGAACCACTCTGATCAGATTGAACAACCAGTCTACATATATTTAACAGGTGCATCTTTACCCTAAATTGACATCTCTAGGGGGTTGTTTACTAAGTTGCTGGTAAGAGTGTCAGTGTTTTTATT